TTATTGTATAAATATAAAATTTATGGTAAAGTTGTGCTGGCTGAAATCAATGGAGTGACCGATGAGCTGAGGCTAGTGGTACCTATACCGCCAATGAATAGTTGCGATATGAACGAGGAGGGACGCCAAACAAGAGAGGAAGACGATAATGTGAGCTGAGATACATGATAGTGGAGCCGAGAGCCAAACTCAATCAGACACCGGAAATTCGGATTTCGGTAGGCGTTACCAAGCATAGAGATAATGATTAAGACGAAGAAGAGTATCATAAGGTTGTAACTTATACCAATGAGAACTTCAGTCGATGGCAGCCGGTGCTCAAAATAAGAGAGGCCTTGGCTTGAGACCTATAGGCATTTGGAGCCTCAGAGAGCTGACTTGGCCAAAATGTTTTCGATTGAGACGCACAGAAGGAAAGGTAACCAAAAGAGAACTGGGATGTTGTGCTGACGCTAGTGATAACTATACCGCCACTGAACTATTGCGATATAGAGCAAAAGAGAGGCAAAACAAGAGAGAGGGACGTAATTGTGTGCTGAGAAGCATGAGAATGGAGCGGAGAGGCAGACCTCAACCAGGAACCTGAGATTGCAATTTCCGTAGAACGACCAAGCATGCAGATAATGTATCAAACGGAGGCGAGCACACAAGGCAGCTAATTATACCAATGAGAACATTAATCGGTGGCAGCCGATTCTCAAAAGAAGAGAGGCCTTGGTTTGATGCCTATGGGCATTTGGGGACTGAGAGGCCGGACTAGTCGAAGAGGTTTAAAACTGAGTACCACAGTAGCAAATGGAATCAAAGGAAGCCTAGGATGTTGCGCTGACGCCAGGGATACCTATACCTTCATTGAACCGATGCGATATGGACCAAAAGAGAGGCCAAACAAGAGAGGGGAACGTAATTGTGAGCTGAGATTCATGATGGTGGAGCCGAGAGGCAAAAGTCAATCAGAGACCTGAAATTGCAACTTTGCAGGGGAGCAAGCATAAAGGTAATGAGCCAGACGGAGGCCAGTATCATGAGGCTGTTTCTTATGCCAATGAAAACTGTAATCAATGGTCAAAGGAAGAGAAGCCTTTGTTTGAGACCTATAGGCATTTGGAGCCGGAGGCCGGTGCGGTCCAGGAGGTTTAAGAGTGCGTGGCGTAGTAGGAAAGCGAATCAAATGTGGCCTAGTAGGTTGTGCTGACGCTATGGGAACCTAAACCACCATTGAACCGATGCGATATGGACCAGAGAAGAGGCCAAACAAGAGAGGGGAACGTAATTGTGAGCTGAGAAGCATGAGAGTAGAGCCGAGAGGCAAAACCCAGCCAGGGACCTGAAATTTGAATTTGGGTAGAAGGACAAAGCATGCAGGTAATGTACAAGACGGAGCAGAGTACATGAGGCAGTTAATTATACAAATGAGAACATTAGCCCACGGCAGCCGATGCTCGAATGAGAGGTCTTGATTTGAGACCGATGGGTATTAGAAGCCTGAGAGGCCGGACAAGTCCAGTAGGTTTAATAATGAGTGTCACCGTAGCAAAGAGAATCAAACGGGGACTAGTAAGTTGCGCTGGCGTTAGAGATATCTGTACCGTCACTGAACCGATGCGATATGGACCAAAAGAAAGGCCAAACAAGAGATGGAGACGATACTTGTGAGCTGACAAGAATGATAGTGGAGCCAAGAGGCAAGATTAATCTAGGACATGAGCTTTCGATTTAGGTAGGGGGACCAAGCGTACAGATAATGAATCGGACGGAGACGAGAGTCATGAAGTCGTTACTTATACCATTGAGAACCTTTATCCACGCAAAGGCAAAAGCTTGACCACACGCTGTCGGCGCTCGATTGGGGCTCGGGTGACCAGTTGTTAGCGGAAATGAGAAGGTTCAACTTTCCGTAATCAGTCCAGCGTTTGATATAAGTTGGCGTGCTGACGAGTTTTTCGGCGAAGCATATAAAATCGAAACGGAGGACGCAGTGGTCGCTAAGCCCCAAAGGGGCATCATACTCAACGTGCTCAACCATCAGTTCTTCGTTAGTGAGAACGAGATCTAGCAGGGACGGTTGGTTGTTGGATCGGAATCTAGTCGGCTGATACGTGTGGTTGTACAACGGGGCCGTGTGAAGAAGATCAATGAGGCCTGATGCAAATGAGTTAGTAGACGGGACAGAGTGAAATAGACGGGGCAGATTGAAATCACCCATGATAAGAAAGTGTGTGCGCTTGTGGGATAACATAAGGTGGACGTCGTGCAGTAGTCGTGCATCCTTCTCGGGAGAGTTGTTTGGGGGCGGTAAACGATACCAAGACAGCTGGAGTGTTTGGCGGTTAGTACGACCTCGCACCACATGGTGTCTGGAGACTGGAGGGAGGTGTTTGTTAACATGCTGCAGCTGAGGGAGATGTCATAGTACAGTGCGACGCCGCCACCTGGGGTTGCGCGGTCAGAGCGGAGAACTGACATGTGAGGAAGTTGGATTTCACCGTCGGTTGTGTCGCCGGAGAGCCACGTTTCCGTTATGGCTATTAGGTCCGCTGGTGTTGATAGAAGTCGGAATTGGAGCTCCGGAAGTTTGGACATGAGGCCCTGTGCGTTCGTGTAGATACAGGTGAGGCCCGTTTGGGTGATGAGCGCGGGAGTAACTAGGGTGCTGCCGGTCAGCAGATGACCGGCAGTGCACCGTTTTTTTGGTTTAGGGGGGTGGAGCCGCTAAGGTTTGTAGTTGGGGAAACAAGGTGTGGGTCGTCGGAGCCCAGATGGGTGCTGGCGGCTGGGTCGTTGAAAGTCTGAAGGTTGGAATGTGTATGTGAGTAAAGTACTCCAGGACGTGAGGCAGGTGGTTCGGTGGTGGACCGACTGAGGACGATCTGGTCAGAGTGTGTCGGTACCGAGTTTGCTGCTGCTGCTACCAGGGGTCTGTGGGAAGCTGTGCGCCTCGGCACCGGGTGCCCATCTGGACGCAGACGGATATCTGGTGGTGCTCGTCTTTTATTAGCATACCAGATGGTGAGTGCATCGGTTGCCATGCTAGCGGTGAGGAACGTCACTTTCAGAAGACAGGGGGCTGTTCCTGTATAAGTTGCTGGACGAGGTAGGCGGTGAACGTCCGTTGTGATTACGTTGACAATATTTAGTGTCTGCTGAAGGAACCGCCATTGATTACAGTCATGCTGTTGTCGTTGTTGTAAGGTTGCGTCAAGAGCATGCAGTTCTGGGACGCCATGCACGATGATGGAGCATGGTTGAGTGGGTGGCGTCAGTTGCTGTCTGCGCGCAGCGCGCTTAGTCCAAGGGATGTCGGGGAAGATACGAATTTGGTAAATGCCGAGAGACGCATTGTTTCGGAGTAGGTGTGCTGACAACAGGACATCCTCCATAGCCGGGCCTGGCTGCAAGTCAACACGCAGAAGTCTTGGCTTACCGGCGTTCGGAGATGAAGGGTGGCGAGTCAGTCTTGTGAGACTAATGGGTTTCGTTTCAGGGAGGTTTAACGCGGTACAGATTGAGCTCCACATAGTGGAATCATGAGAATGTCGATTCTGAAGTTGCGGGTCGTTGGACTCGGGCACGTTTGTACATTTGACAGAATTAGGAGCAGGGCTACTCGTTATCCATCTAGACGAACGCGGATGTGAAGCGGTAGCAAGCTTTTTGGTGGGAGGGCCTCAGTCGGAAGCGTTGGTCGTCGGCAAATGTTGGGCAGACCAGCAGTTGGTAACGGTGAGACGGTACGTGATTCAGAACGGTTGGGAGGTTGTTGTCGTCGTTTGGTTAGACCGTCGACTTTCCGCAATAGATTCTGTAGCTGTTCTTCCAGATTAAGCAACCGCACTTCTGAGCGAGCATTTTTGCTAGGTGGCTCAATGAATCGTGGTGACCGGAGCGACTGCTTCTGCGAATGCTTGTTACGCGGTGTGGAGGGCGGGTTATTGGGAGACGAGATTACAGAACCAACCATAGGGCAAGTCGTTGAGGAAAGGTCGCAAGAAATATCCCGCACGTAGTTCGCAATTCTGGGAATGCAAACCGGGCAAATGTACCGCAGGACCGTCTGTGGATGCGAGCGACAGAATTCGATGTCAGCTGCATGGAGCGAATTGTCACAAGGAGCGCGAACACGGTGAAGTCAGATCGAGCAGGTGATGGCCCTGCTAGCACAAAAAGGACTTTGAAGGCGAAAATGGGTGGTAAAGTCCTTAACCGTCAACTATAAACCTGAATCCATGGTTAAGGACTTTTGCGACCATTTTGAAGGCGAAATTTGTCCTTCCACTGCAGCTGTATTAAGTACACAGTGAAGGACTTTGCACCCTGTCCAATCAGAAACCTAGGTTAAACAGTGAATGACAGACAGACTGGAGGAGTATGAATGGTCATTGACGGTTGACCTTGGACGGCGTGGACCAATGGCCGTGCACGCACCACGACGCTACGCACGCACCTAGCCGGTACCCGTGCACGCCGCACCTAGCCGGTACCCCTGTACGCCGCACCTAGCCGCAACCCCTATACGCCGCACCTACCTGCAAACCCCTGTACGCCGCACCTAGCTGCAGCCCCTGTACACCCCACGTATTGGCTACCCACCCAATCTCGCACACCGCTGGAAGGGGGATCTCAAATCCCCACCTGCGTTTCCCGTTAATAATAATATGTAACGCAGGTATTACTACCGCTTACTAATGCAAAGTAAATGTGCGAGTCATAGCTAATCGCCCATATGACCTCTTTTCTCCTGCGGCGTAACATCCTGCTGCTACTGAATGGAGGAAACCATGTTTAACACGGCGCACAGGGTCCAGTCCCACTACTCATAGTGATGCCTTAGTATTTCATTCCCAATAAGCACAAAGATAGCGGGAATGGAATCCGATTTTTTCACAGTAAGAAGTCCGTTTACCGACGCATAGTAGTGGATACATTAAATGGAAGGACATCAATATTGACAACAGAGGTCCATGTTCCGTTTGAATCGGTTACGCTTCTTCCATGCTGTCTCATGGGCGCTCCAAGTCCACGAATTGGAAAACCTTATTTAAGAAATGTTAATAAGTAATCCACCATTTCATACCTGCTGGCTGCTTGCACAACCTTTGGTAGTGTCGCGCCATGCGTTGCCACGAATCGATTTCAAGTATTTCCTGACATCATCATCAGGTGACACAATACTTCCGGAGAAACGTTTTAATAGAGCAGCTACGACGGGGATGAAAGGGCAAAGATGTTGCTTACCTTGCACTTCGGTGAATAGCTTCATCTTCCGGAATCCGTGTTTGTTGCGGAGACAGGAGTAATTGATCTCCGCCATCAATGACCGCGTTAGAAGACGCTGCATCATGAGGCGTACAGTCTCCGACAACGTGTCTCCATGCACACCTTTCAGTTTAGACTGCATGCATATGTGAGGTATCAAGGAATCTTACCAATTGTTGAATGCATCCTGCATTAGTATAACAAATGACTGTAGTTCCTCCACCGATGTAATTTGCGAAGGAAGCGGCGTTGCCTGCTGCCCTGTTTGCCCGGCAATGGTTGCAGCCATCGATCTCATGTAACTCTTCACATACTCCAGTGTCTTCATATGTATGTATTCTCAACAGTCTATTAGGTAGACACTGAACATTACCTGAAAATGTATACCGTTTTAGGAATGTAGGAAGTTACCATCTATGAACTCGTTTATTCTTCAGTTGGTTCATATCGCCTGCAAGAAAATGGTAAAACCTCAAGTACATGCTTACGGTGAATGCCATTCCAATCGCTTGTAGGAACGGTGATGAAGGAGGAGTCAGGTAGACTCTAGGACTAGGACACTCAAGCTACAAAGTGTAAGCACCAATCGGAATCCGTTTTCCGAATCTGTTCGTTCGAATTGTTATCACAGTGAGATGCAGTATTGTACGCTGAAGTTTAATATTAAGAAAAATGTATCCCTTACCTGTATAAGCTGGTTTGTATCTGCCCATGTTGTATTGCTGGGAAGACGACTGACGTGGGTTTTATCCATCGAGCGGGCCAACTCAGTTAAAGAAAAGATAGCTAGAGAGCCATAGAGAACGGCTGTGGGGACCATGCGCTTCCTGGAGTGGCTCAAAGTCATCGGCAGTCTGCAGACTTCGGTGTACCTGTATGTTATTGGTGTACAAACGCCCTGCTTTTTCTTATATGAGGTAATCAGCAATAACTTAGGGAGATTATAAATTACCGGTATGTGGTAATGGTTCACATTTTTTAGGCGTTAGGATCTCATTTTCCGTAACCTCCACAGGACAATCTCTTTGATCAATTTGTCCGAGGCATGTTTTCGCGCGCAAATACCGATCCCGCGCGGGCAATTGTCGGTTTGTACACCGAGGTCTCATTAATAATGCTGAACATCAAAGGTTATGTTGAAGATGGCGACGTACATACAAAAAGATCTTGATTAATAGAAACACCGAAACGTCGTGCAATATCGTCACCGATATTACTAAGCGAATGCGACCCGCAAAATAGAAAAGAAGCTCACAATGAAGCTATCTACGTAGAGTACAAGTAATTGCGCAAGTAGAGATAACAATGCGCAAACTGTGCGTTGGGCGATAGCAGCTAGGGTAAACCAAGGACAAAGCTTGAGAAATGAAATCAAGCTGAAAAGTTCATTTTTGCAATACTGCAATGAAAAAACACATATAGTGCTTCTTATATCTAACTCACGTCGAAATGGCTTACTACCAACTCAAACTATTTCTCCGCTATCGAAAATGCACAAAGAAAAATAGAAGTCCAACACGGCGAAGCAGAATTTACAACCAAACGGAGCAGTGCCAGACGAAGCAGAAAATTTAAAGGCGCGGCAAAATTCAAAAGATTGGCCGATGACTCTTTTTAGGAAATCATATAGGATTTTTTGACAGATTGAAGCAACTAACTAATGTTATGCTTATACTTTAGGTAACGTAACCTACACAAATATGCGCACCCCTTGCTGAAATACGGAGTAGATCAAGTAGCCGCCCATATAATACTGAAGGCCTTTGAAGGAGTTTCGAAGGACTTTGAAGACCGAAAAAAGGACTTCATGTGCTAGCAGGGGGCTTTGGAACGAAGACCTACACGCTGAGTGCAGATAGAGCAGGTATTCAGTAGCCGCATTGGCGTAGTGGGCGAGACCGAAATGATCGGCATGGTCAAACAAATGACGTACAGATGACACAAATATCTGCAAATAAACGTAGTGGACTACCTGTCTCAAGAGAACAGAATGCGCAGGGGGTCGCTATCCGCAGTCAGATTCGGAGGGACCGATCGGAAGAACGGAACATTTATCGTGATTTATGGGTAATTGACAGCTGATCGACCACTCATGCAGCGAATCGAGCCTTGTTTGTAGTAAATCAGCTTCATCCAGACAGGAGACTTCCATCCATATCTTTAAATCATCTGCGTAAATCGAACAATCTGCCCGTAGTACAGATGCCAGATCATTAATAAAGACTAAAAAGTTCAGGGCCAAGAACAGAGCCTTGCGGAACACCGCTGGTCATATTTGCAGGGAAGGAAAAAGGCCTCGTTTACTTGTACACGGAAAGCGCGGTCATTCAGGAAATCAGTGAGCCAAGAGAGGATTTTTCCTGTAGCACCAATACTGCGAAGTTTGCTAAGCAAACTTTCGTGTGGAACCTTGTCAAAAGCTTTACTGAAATCCACAAATACGACATCTAGTCGCTTACCAGCATCTATGGATTTAGCCCACTTTTCTCGAGCTACCAGAAGATTGGTGACACATGAACGCGAAGGACAAAACCTATGCTGCGCAGCTGAAATGATCTTGAGGTTCTGGAAGTGCAGGTTGAGAGCTCGCTTAAGAATCCTCTCTATAACCTTACAGACGACAGATGTTAGACAAATGGGACGATGATTCGTAGGATCTTGTCGTTTACCTCCTTTGTATATGGGATTGACTATGCCCGCTTTCCAGGCAAGCGGAAGACGCCCGGCCTTAAGTGAGCACCGAAATACGTGGCAGATAGGAACAGCGATATATTCGGCCACAATCTTGAGGAAAAGTGGATGCACTCCATCAGGTCCCGGGGAAGAGTGGGGATCCAACTCGCACAAAAGTTTTGTATACCCCAGTAACATTTATGTCCATCTAGCTGAGACCGGAGAGCAAGGATGAATAACAATCAACTGACGGCACCTCCATTGTATAGACCGATGAATAATGGCGAGCTGAATATTAGCTTTATCAGCATCGTCGTGGAGCACGGTATTAAGATCGTGGGAATGCAAACACGGTATTTCACTTCCGGCTCTGGTGCTCCTTTTCAAGTAGGAGAAAAGAAGCTTCGGTATAGACTTGGAATGTTCAGCCAGTTGACCTTCGTATTGCTGCCGTTTCGCACGTTTTTCGAGGTACATACGTTCCGGACCAATTTATAATTGCTATACTCGGTTTCCAATCTCGAAAGCCTATAGCGATTCCAAAGTTTGTGTCTTTGGTTCATGAGCGATCGTAGTTTTCGGTCAATCCAGGGGGACCTCTAGTAACTGGTTTTTGTTTAGATATGGGGACAACATCAACAATAATGGACAACATTTTCGAGTAAACAAGGCTGCAAGCATTATCGACATCCAAGTGCTAAGGGAGACTCCAATCCTGCTCGCTAGCGGCATTCTTCAAGCGGTTTGGATCAGCACGCCAGAAATTCCGCCGATAGACACTGTGGTTGTGAATGCTCAACCGTGTGGTCCATTGAAAGGAAAGTAGGCAGTGGTCACTCCTCCCGATTGGTGGTAAGACATTCAAATCAGAAACATCGGATGGTGCAGGCGAAAGCACAAGATCGAGTATGTGCGGCGTCTGACCAGGGAGAATGCGAGTAGGTGCCGCGACATGTTGAAAGAAATCGCTTTCAAGAACAGCTTCCAGAAACGTAGAATCTAGGAGGCAGGTGCAGCATCCCAGTGAAGAAGATCCCAATCAACATTAGGGGCATTAAAGTCCCCCACTAATAAACAATCCTTGTTTCCACCATGCTTCTTTAGAGAGGCCAGTAACGATCGCCAGAACTCAGGGGAGCTCTGTAGAAGACACCGAGAAGGAGAGATTTACATCCATCGTGAATACGACACCAAAGCACTTCGGAGCAGTCATCACTACCCAAGACAACATCAACTACATGGACCTTCAGGTTTTCCTTCCAGTAGAGTATGACGCCGCCCCCGAGCTCAAACCGATGCGATCAGCTCGGGAGAGACTGTAACCAGGAATATGTACTTCTGCATCTGGGATTTCTGGGGACAACCATGTCTCCGTAAACGCCATAAGGTCCGGGAGAAGTACTGACGCAAGATGCACAGCTTCATCTAGTTTATTACGCAGACTGCGCACGTTCGCAAAAAGTACGTGCAATCCAGTTGTTGATCTTAATGTTCGGGAAGGACAAGAACTGGCTTCCAGCGCGTTCTCTGCACTTTCCGAACAACGCGAAAATCCTCAATTCGCAAATCGGTTTCACCGTTCGCACGGCGAGTTCTCAATTAATCAACTGCGATCTTCATTTTAACGCGGTCTTCCGGGGATAGATCCCGTAACACGTGAAAGGGCTCCCTTTTGAGGCGCGAAGTTCGTCGAAGGATCCGACGGCATGCATCTTCAGTTTGGCATACAACCTTAAGGGGACGCAACTTAGAAGAATCTTCCTGTTTTCTGCCAAGTCGAAAAGCAGAGACGATATTAACCCCCGGTTCCCCCTCATCCAACAGTAGGGAGATCATACGTTTTAGAAAAAATTGGTCGTCCAAAATTCTCTCTGCTGCTGTTGTCTTATCCGACTCCGGGGAGTTCATTATGATGAGACAACGTTCCCGGTTAGGGACTTTGGCGATCTCGGGGATCCGTTGCCTGGAAGGCGGCTTGTTCTGGAGCAGTTTCTCCAAATGGTCGATCCTATGAAGAACCGAGTTTAGCCCACGCTTTGGAGGTGACGCTTTGTCGTCCCCAGACTTGGCTATAGGCTTACATTTATGCACCACGGGAATCCGACTTGCGGGAGCAGCCACCGTGTTCTCCTTGACGACGGTCGCAAACGTCTTGGGCGGGGACTTACTAGGCTGGTCACTAGAAATGTGTGGGTCTGAGGGCGGGGCAGAAATTTGTTTAACAACTGGCGTGACATAATCAGGACACAAAGAAGGGAAAGAAGAAGGCGAATTTTGGGAAACAGTCGTTTGGGGATCGGAGTGAACACTAGCAGAGCGGGGAGTAAAAGCAGGTAAACCAGAATGAGCCCGCTGGGTGTTGACTAATGTAGTACAAGAGTCACAAAAGATGCCAACAGAGGATGCTGTATACATCAGAAGACACACATAAAGATTTGGTGAGATACCACAACAAGTGATATGCAACCAGCCGTCGCAGTTAGAACATTGAACGGCATCTGAGCGGGTAGTGACACCTTTACCACAATCCAGACACGTGGACACCATGATGATGATAGGTAGACCAGCAGAAGATTCCGAGTACATTGCGCACCTCCAAGCCCGTCTGAATCACAAGAAAACGGACGAAATCAACCTTTGTCAGAACGAAAACAAGGGCGTTCGCTAGCGGTGACCTTGATTTGAAATAGATGTGTATAT